TTTGGTAAACGCAGAGAGACAAACTCAAGTGGTATTTGGTTACGGTCCTTGTTGTAGTTGGCTGCGCTCGGTTTCATTTTTCTTTCGAAGGGCCTAATGAGATAGCCTTTGTTACGGTATTTGTTTAACAGTAGTTCATTTTTCACACGCTGTGCGAATTCTGTGCACAGTTTTGCTGTTCTTTTAAAAAGACAGCCCGCTTACTCTTAACCCCAGTGAAAACAAAGCTTCAGGAGTGTATGGATAACTTAGCCACCTGCGTGACTGTTCATTAGCACACATTAATAGTCCAATGTATCATTGCGCTCAACTTCGTATGTAAATACCATGGAGAATCGGTCCTTGTTAAGTGTTTCATAAATAGATCAATATAGCATCACCTACATATTGTACGTAAATTTTCAAAGATGCCACGGCCTGAAGATACGTATGCAGGCTAAAATCGAGTCCATTGGTGGCCCATGATGATCATATCCACCTGAGGACTAAATATATCATTACATAGGAAATAAGCATTCAGGACGCACCACAAAACGTTATGTTCCTTGTTTCTCGTAGTCAAAGCACCTGTATATCTTGTCCTCTGGGGCTTACCCTTGCCCAGCCAACAGGTAACAGCAGCGAATGTTGTTCTGCCGTAAACTAATTGGAACACTTGTTCAGGGTGCACGTAACCCGAGCCGGAACTGTTGGGCCAATCTCACTGACACACATGCTAGTAGAAAGGTAGTACTGATTATAAGATGGAAAATATTGAATTTCGAAATTGTTGTAACCAGAAACAAGGTAACAGAATCCATGAACCCTGCCAATTTTTAGGTCCTATTCAATGTAGAATATACGGCCAATACTTTGTCCACTTTTGGAGTTATAAGCATGTGTGCATCAGAAAAGTAACCATGTAACGAATTGGTTCAAAGCCTTTGGACTGAAAAATAACATTCAGCTTTGATAAGGAACGGGTGATAACTCCTTTTCTAAAACCTCCATTCTTGTGTTGTGCTTTTGGCATGTTTCCAAGTAATAAATCTTGACGGAAAGTGACCTCATTTGCAACAAACTGGCATGTGCAAACCTCTCTCGATCTCGCCTGTTAAACAGCCTGCCCTACACACAGTTGTGCAGCAAACTATTCGGGTAGACCACACAAGTATATGAAAGCGCGAATGACGACAGAGACTGATGATAATTAGGAGTACAGATGCTACAAGGGTTGTCGAACTTGGGGAACAACCTAGCATCAAAATCTGATGTAATGCAGTACTAGTCCATTTTGTCTATCAAACCATATTCCGATCAGATGTGAACTGAGAAACAATACTGTTCGGTCAGATGATAAATGAACCGATGAGCATGGTGAGGAAATTTTGGATTGTGTTCATCGGATTCCTTCTTGAAGAGTGAGCAAAATAGCCAACTGACCGCTCGTGTGTATGCAGTAGATAAGATTACTACTTTTGAATATAGGGGGCGGGGTCACAAATGCGTGCAGGATGACCATAAAGCCACCGTAGTTTATCGGCTAACATACCTACTGAATAAGCCATGATAAATTTGTCCTCGGACGTTTTGTGGTTGAAGGACATCCGGCGGGGAGCAGCCTTACTTTAGCTTAGGTGAAGTCTGACTAGAATGAAAAGTATTCGGTCCGATAGGCAAGACTTCTTACACAAGGTTGCCTCGTTCAAAGTGTGAGTTCACCAAAGCTAGACGAACATTCACTGTTGGGTTTCGCTTAAGAAAAGGTACTACCCATCGATGAAGCAGGATCTGTTGACTCTATGACTGCTTAGTGGGCCATCAAGTCGAAAACTGTCACGAGCAGTTAACGGATGGATCAGCTGGACGGAAGAGTTCTCTGTGGTCGAAATGGATTCTGAGTGTTTCCGGGTGTGGGTGATGACAAAGACAAACGTGTTGTGAGGAACGACCAGAACATCTCTAAATATACACAAATTGTATTCAGGCTAACAGGAGCTTAACCAGGGCACCAAATGGAAGGGCAAAAGCTCATGTTACTGAACACAGTGGATGGAAAAATAAGTTGGACAGAGGTTTATTCCTGATATTGAAACACAGCAGTCGGTCGTTATTTATATATGGATGGACTCATAAGATCATAAAATGGATGGACGTTTACATATGGAGGGTAGACGCTCGCATAAAATTATCGACTTGGAGAATCAGATGAGAACGGACTAAACAGTAGGATTTCTGGGAAAACAATGCTGAAAGCTGAATGCCAAGGTTAGGGTAAGTTTGGAATTGCAATTTCGATCGAATGAACTAAATGTGAAGTGATGATAGGCTAGGTGCAATTAGAACTGTTATTTATTAAACCAAGTAACCACCTTCCCTTATTTATGTGTTTATGGGGGAGCAGGTAAGATGGTGCTGAGTAAGATAAATAAAGGCGGTATTCAGGTCGCTTGAACTGGCTCAGTTTAGAACCGTGTTCGCTCGGTCATAACGCGGCCAACTCCTCCATGAATTTCGTAATAACGACGTTGTTTGAACTAGTCAATTGGCGATCGCCTCACCTGTCACACGTGCATTCTTTCAAGATCTTGTAAGGATTTGGTGACATTCGATTCAACTCGCCGAGAGACTCATCGAGGTTTATTCGATGATTTGTATCAAGCGGATGTGCGAAAATAGCGTCCGTCATGTGTTCCTCTTGTTCGGTTCCACTAGTTGATGACAGATCCAACACTTCTTTCACGAGGATGTCCAGTCATCCAATTGATAAAGCAAGCAAATGGTTGCATTACTGTGGAAAAATCATTAGTCGACACCTTATCTATAGTGCTTTTTGGGCAACCAATCACTGCTGAATTAGATCCATACCTAGGCACTTTTGAACGTTTGTGTGATTGAACGTTAGTCGCTGCCCGATTCCTTCTGAGTAGCAGCACAATGTAGATAGCCATCTCAGGAACTAGCGTGCTTCTGTTTTCCGTCGTGGAGGATTTTCCCAAACAACATTCTCCGGGTATCTGTTTTCCATCAAGGACTTCAATCTGCAGGTCATTTCTGCGTCTAGTGTTTCGTCTGCGCGGACAATAAACAAACTATAGGGAAACACGGGTGAATACGTCCACAGTTAAAGACTGGGACATGGATTAGTGGACACGATAGATTTTGAAAACGCGAGCTTTTTGAGGCGAGGACTGAGACTCACGCCATAGGAACTGATTGTCCGTTAAAGTTGAAGTAAGCAAGCATCCCACAGTGAATAGGACGGAGAGCTTAGCATGGTAATAGTGAGGGCAGTTTCCGAATCAAACGTGCTGACAAGTGACGGTGTTCACCTGTGAAGAGGAGTCTTCGAAGGTATCTCAAATAGAAAGCCTGAACTGACCAAAATCTTCATCCCCAAACTAATTTCCCTAGAACTAACTCACCTGGACCAGCAAAATTTGTAAGCGACACCCTGAAGGAACTATCGAATGAGTTACTCCCGACTGCAAGAACCACGTCATGCAATCCAACTGACATGCCCGGCAAGCAGACTAACCAGCAAGAAGCGCACACGAGCTACCTATATTCCGCAACATCACCGAATATGCAACAAACGAGATCCAAAGTCATGTTATATATCCCTTTATGACATCGACCGCAGCAGTTAATCACTTACACCAAGCAACAAGAAATCTTAGCTAACATACAAGATTGACAGTCTACCAGTTTATAGATATCGCGCCTTGAAGCTTCGTCAATCTGGTCACTCATCTAATTAGCTTGATAAAGCAAAACGCTGCCCAGTGGTAAATCTAGCGGTTAGCTGTAAAGCTTTTCTGAGACAATTTCTTCTCTGTTTAAAAATCCGTTCTGAAAAGAGGTCTTACTGATCAGTTCCAAAGGTTCGAACCACCTGAAGTAAAACAACTTGTTAAAGTATCCGAAGCTATCTATACTAGGAGAATGGATAAATGTGGTGGACATTTTGAAACCCCCCATATAACGTGTCGAATCGTGCATGTGACAGAAGTGGACGGCTCTTAGCATATCGAGCTGTGCACAACGGTGCGAATGCAAGTGAAATCTGACGTAACCGTGCATTCATTTCGCACTGTCTGGATTATTTGATGATACATCTGTTCACCAGTATCCTCGACAAGATGACTCAAACCTGTGACCAACTTATTTAAAAGTTTATGAAGGTCACATAAAAAACGGATTATTTTGCGAGTAATTCAAATAGTGTGATTTGGGCCTAATCCCGGTATCCGAGAGCCTCCCGTACGAACAGACTCATCTTAGAGTCTGACAGTCCAGCTGACATTTCGTGACTAACGCTGTCCTTGAATGTTCATACTTTTCTCATTAGAAAATTGACTTAAACACCCTAGAAAGGTCAAGAATATGACTACCTGTCGAAACATATTCAGCCAGTACGGTTCCGGTTAACAACAAGCCAACCCTTAATTAGTTTCTTAACATCAACTAGTATTAGGAAGGTCACGAGTTCGGGACTTCCTGGAATTTCGTGAGATGCGCACTGTTGATTTCCAGTAGGGATGAAATGTTTGTGCAATGCTTCTCGGTTCTTCAGCATAGTGGCTTCAGTTACAAGACGAAACATCCACTAGAACAGACCGTGCGGACAATATGCAGTATGTTTGGGTTAATGACTACAACATTTTCCTGAGGTAAGCTCAGACCGTTACGACTAAACGCGGTGAATGATAATCGGGTTCAAATGGAAATGGTATAGCGCATGGCTTTAATACTGCACGGCCATCACTGCGTGATCGTGTTGAATGTGGCTTAGTTGGTGATCTTGACCTCACTTTACAAGTAGAATCGAAAGTTCTCTGCCCTTCAAGGAAACAATTCACGAGTTTTAGCACCTTCCCTGCAATAAAATCCAAACCTTCTACACCTAATTCATATTCGGGATTAGATAAATCGCTCTGCCACCGGAAAGAAGCTTAAAGGGTTGCCAAAGCCTAAACAGGAGCAGTCGAAGTGCAGAAGTTGGATTCGAACCACGGGCCATTCGATTGGTGAAATCACGCTATAAACAATGAGCCATTTCGAATAGTGACAGGATGATATATGGTCAAGGTACACGAACTCAAATTTGTTTTGCCCATAGTGAAATGATTTAGGACTGAATCGGAAAAAAAACCCAAACACCACACAAACAAACCCAATATTTCTAACCACCATTCGGACACGATACGTGAGTGAGGGAGCGTACGGACGGGTTGTACAGCCAAATGAGGTTGGATAGGAAAAAAATTAAAAACAAAATTGATGTTGAATGATATCACAAATGCCTTAACATTAATGGAACCATGACGTGCGCATAAGTGTCACAGGGAAAAGGACCGCAGCATCCAGATGGAGGAACTTTCAACCCTACGAACGAAGAGTTATCTTGAAACACAGGGTGAGGGAATGTGGGTAACCGCGGGTGGATGAGTAACGCTGGTAGTCAAAGATAAGCACGTTGACAGTCTATCACCGAAAACAACAAAGCACTCTTATTCGACCTGCATGTATGAAAACCGTGCAAATGCTGGTTTGAAAAGTTGAGTAGCTTTCAGTAAATGTGTGTGATCTGCGCAGGATGCTCAAAAGGAAAAATACATTTAGAGGGAAATGAATCAAGCCAATGGAAAAGTGGTCGTGTATGTTTCATTTACAGAGCGCCAGAAGCACCATCAAAAGAAGTAGACCAGGGCGTAGGATGGGTTGCAATCAGGACTCTTCGACGACGGCACTGTTGGAAGGAGCATCCGTTTTTAGGAATGTTTGTAGTAGGTTTTGTAGTTCATCAATTAGTGGTTCGGCCAGCTTATTGTAGCCATTCTCGGCTGGATGCAGGTAGTCAAACATGTCCCGGTGAGATATTGTGCCGTTTGGCTGAACAAATTGCTCCCAGTCAGGACTTAAGAAGGTTACTTGTGGACGTTGGCTGAGCTCTGCAGCGAGGAGTTTGTTGATCTGTTCGTGTTTGGTCCGTCTCGGATTGGGATCCCGACCACAAGGTAAGAGTCCCTAGAGCGAAAAAACGGGCAAGATTTGAAAGTTATCAACAATGAATGGAACAAGCAACCAAGTTTAGCAGTTTGCAGAGGGAAAGTATAACTAAATGAAAGTTACGCTCAGTTCAGGGTTGTCAAATGATAATCAAGAGATAGTAAGATGACAGTCGTTCGCAAGAATGAATTTCGTGGTGCACATCAGATCAAATGGGAGGAAGACGATAGTACGCAATACCTTCACTCCCTGCACGCAACAACCTGCGATGGGATTCCCTATGGGTCAGACCATTTACCGATTTGACGACTTAGTCCCGCAAACGTGGTGTTTTGGCTGTACAGAATTTAAGTACTGCTAACACTATTGATCGTGTGCACCCTAAACAAACTCGACCTCCCATCGAAAAAGGATACAGTAGTACGGGAAAATCACGCCAAGTGTCTGAGGGCATATCAGGGTAATGTTCGCAATCGACAACTTTTACACATCTGTTGTATTACAGAACAAACGTGAATATACAAAGCCGTGCATCGGGAAATTTCAAGGCAAGCAGCAAATAACAAATGTGCCTTATGCAGACACTGGTAAAAATGCGAATAATTTATAGTAACATCCTAACAAACCACTACAATTCCAGTAACCTATGCGCAGTCACGATTGTTGAAAAATGCTCTCTTGATGGTATGCTGAGCATCGAGACCGTCCGCTTTAAAGGAACAGGTGTCTTTTGGTGTTTGTAGGCAGTTATGATATCACATGACAAGATCCGGTCGGTGAGACTCACAAGAGGAGCCAGTGATTCATCAAGATGCACTTGACTGTTGATCGACTTAAGGACGAACTGCACACAAGCAAGCGGTCGCGTTAAGAATTGAGCACCATGCATGTAATTCATGCACTGCTAGTAGAACCGTTGTCGGAAACCCAAAAAAACGAGGACGATGAACGTCGGTAAGCTGATGACCGAACCCATTACTATAGATAGCACTTATTTAAATTTGAACATGAACTCGACTAAATCATTCTGATCGGAATAATGCGCTCAAGAGATGTGAAAAGCTACTACAACAACCCTGGATGTGTGATCAAGACAAACACCGGTAACTTGGAAAGGTCAATTGGTTATCACCTAGTTGGAAGTTTTTGTAAACAACTTTCTCATAAAAACACTCTGCAATACAGTGGTGATAGTTTGTGTTCCACATGGTGCTGCGTACCCCACACACGAGCGACGAGGAACGGAACACTGAACAATGATTCGTGTAAGGCTTTGTATAGGTTACCTGATTAAATAGCAAGACGATCGCCCCAGTAAACAAACTCAGAAAGTGCTGAGAAATCGTGTGAATCGATGGTTGGAACAGCTCCGTCTAATGTAGTGTTGTGGAATGTGAGTGTACGGAATTACCTGAGAGCTTATGGTGGTCGCTCAGAATGAGGATATTCCACCTGACAACCATAAAAACGTCTGTGATTCGTTCGCTACATTACGTAGCAAAACAACCAGATGCACAATATACTTCAGGGAACTATCTCAGAAAACTATCATAAGGCTGTAACTGATGAAGTGTGACTGTGGGCGATAAAAGGAAATCACCTACTATTTTACAACACCCTGCTCCTTGGTATAGCATGGTACGTGAAGGGCTTGTGTAGCGTGGGGATCCAGTAAAGTGTTAGCTAGAGGTGTAATGTCGTAGGAGGAGAACAAGGGAATGACAAGATCAGAGGAGTAGTATTGAGATATACGAGTTGAAAGAGTAGTGCACTGACGGACCGTAGAAAGCAGGAAGTTGGAAGATGGTGAAAGTATCAACTAATCACTCACAAACGAAGTCGATAGGATTACCAATCCTCCACAATCATTACTTCTGTCATAAATGCGGATTTCAGCTTGCATGAGCAAGTCTTTGACCAGGGTCTTGAGTTTTTCTAAACGCCCTTCAAACTCTTACATACCGACTAATCTGGGCAGAACAATAACCTCTGAACCAGCCATTATATTTCCAGGATGTGTTTGACAACAAACAAGAGTTTCAAGGTAAAATGGAATTCCCTTGCCGAGTTCAACAGAAAAAAAGGAATCTATGCGGTGACGCCGTACATTTGGAAACCCTAAAATCAACTACAAATCATCTAGCAGAAAAGCTAGCAGTTTTCTACGCAGAAAACTCTACCATTGTCTGTGATCTCCCAGTCTCAGGTTTAAGGAGGAACCGATGTTGGACTTATCACCGCATCCAGAACAGGTAGGAAATAACTGTCGACTCGTGTTCTACGCATAAAAGTATCTGATCTTCAGTAATAGAAATAAGGAAATTCTGGGTTTGTTCGAGCTTTGTACTTTTTCGGCTTATTTCTACTCTCATAACAACTGATATGCTCAGTCGTGATCCAAACACCGTTCGAAGTAAGAAAGTTACAAGCTGCTTTGTGACATACATGGTGCACGAATAGCCCAGAGCTTGAAAACTGAAAACGACCTAGTTGACTGGATTCCTGTGAACAGGCAGACTGTTCACCATGAGACCAGCCGGAACCATCAAAGCCCAGCAAACATAGGTAAAAGTACTTAACATGTGTCTCAAATTCGCCCATTCCCCAATAATTTGGAGTACGGATGCCTTCGAATATGAATTCCGTGGCTATCTTTTGGATCGTCCACAAAAAGGTAAAATATACGTTACGATTCTAGCTGGTAAAAATAGAGCCAAAACTGAGCAACTCAATAGCGGGCATTATTTTCGACAAATTTGGCGTTCCCATCCTAAAAACTGACGAGTGATCGATCCATTCAATTTTGCATAGATCACTGTCTGTTGATTGTAGGTACCACTTTCAACACCCAAGATCACAACTTCGGTCCTCCGAACCATGATAGACAGTGTACACAGTCAGACTGCATCGCAGTTGGATAGCGATGGTGATTGTGTTCAACGGCGTCGCTTCTTTCGGAAGACACACAAGGACTGCCAACATTCTTGAACACCAGCTCTATTGACCATTTGTTTTCTGACAGTCAAGCAAGGGCCCGTTTTTTCGCTCGAAAGACTGCCTGCAAAAACCGTCTATAAAAGGACAGTACTGAACGGAATTATCTAAACAGCTGTCAACAGCATCATCATCATCGACAACATGACATCAGTGTTCAACATCGATGCTTCACTGCCGTACAGACATGACTTATTTGAAAGCCTTATTGTAAAGAAAAGAATAAAGGTGGATGGGGGAGGGACTTAGTGCTAGCTTAACACAATCATTCCGAGGTGCCTACACCTCCAGACATTCA